GTGTGTGTCCTCGGAGGTCTTTTAAAAGTCAGGTCCTTCCTTCTTCAGACACTTATAGTCTGTGGTGACGGCCACCAACTGTGCAGAGAGAGAGAGAGAATACATTTAAATGTAGTTAGCGTAAATTAAGATCATCAGAATATCATAAACGACAAAACAACATGCATACAAACAAGAGCACACACACACACACACACACACACACAGACTGTCTGACAGGCTCTGCGGACCCTCATTACGTGATCAGTTTCTGCTTTTCAACAGAACAGTATGAGAAAGAGCCTTTTGTGAAGTGATTCAGGAAAGTAAAATGAATCCTGTTATTAGGGAAACCGGTAACCATTGACTTCAATAGGAAAAACAAAAACTATGGAAGTCAATGGTTACTGGTATTCAGCATTCTTCAAAGTATCTTCTTTAGGGTTCAACAGAAAAAAGAAACTCATGAAGGTTTAAAACAAGAAGTGCAGTAGTGCACAATGATATCATATAAAGCATGTTCAACATATTCATTATAGCATGATAATAAACATGCGCGACACCGATATGGATGTATTGAAATATTAAAATATATTATGATAATAAACATGCGCGAAACTGATATCGATGTATTGAATTATTAAATTATATCATGATAATAAACATGCCTGACATTGATATCGTTGTATTGAAATATTAAAATATATCATGTTAATAAACATGCTCGAAACTGATATCGATGTATTGAAATATTAAAATATATCCTGATAATAAACATGTGCAAAACTGATATCGATGTATTGAAATATTAAAATATATCATGATAATAAACATGCACGAAACTGATATCGATGTATTGAAATATTAAAATATATAATGATAATAAACATGCTCAAAACTGATATCGATGTATTGAAATATTAAAATATATCATGATAATAAACATGCCTGATACTGGTATCGTTGTATTGAAATATTAAAATATATCATGTTAATAAACATGCTCGAAACTGATATCGATGTATTGAAATATTAAATTATATCATGATAATAAACATGCCTGATACTGATATCGTTGTATTGAAATATTAAAATATATCATGTTAATAAACATGCACGAAACTGATATCGATGTATTGAATTATTAAATTATATCATGATAATAAACATGCCTGATACTGATATCGATGTATTGAAATATTAAAATATATCATGATAATAAACGTGCAAAACTGATATCGATGTATTGAATTATAAAATTATATTATGATAATAAACATGCGCGATACCGATATCGATGTATTGAATTATTCAAATATATCGTGTTAATAAACATGTGCGACACCAATATAGATGTATTGAATTATGAAATTATATCGTGATAATAAACATGCGCGATACCAATATTGATTTATTGAATTATTAAATTATATCGTGATAATAAACATGCGCGACACCGATATTGATTTATTGAATTATTAAATTATATCGTGATAATAAACATGCGCGACACCGATATCGATGTATTGTATTATTAAAATATATATCGTGATAATAAACATGCGCGACACCGATATCGATGTACTGAATTATTAAATTATATCGTGATAATAAACATGCGCGACACCGATATCGATGTACTGAATTATTAAATTATATCGTGATAATAAACATGCATTATACTGATATCGATGTATTGAATCATTAAAATATATCAGAATAATAAATATGCGCGACACCGATATCGATGTATTGAATTATTAAATTATTTGTGATAATAAACATGCACAATACCGAAATCGATGTATTGAACTATTAAATTATATTGTGATAATAAACATGCATTATACTGATATCGATGTATTGAATTATTAAAATATATCAGAATAATAAATATGCACAACACCGATATCAATGTATTAAATTATTTAATTATATTGTGATAATAAACATGCACAATACTGATATTAAAATATTGAAATATATTATGATAATAAACATGCACAATAGTGATATTGATATATTGAATTATTTAATTATATGATGGTAATGATCATGAACAATACTGATATGAATATATTGAATAATTGAATATCAGCACATGTCTGAATTCTTCTGAGAAATCCCAGGTGCACATTTCTCACCTGCTGGAGCAGAAAATAGTGGGAAAGTGCCGGTTTTGAGCAGTGATGTGTTGCTGTTTTTGTGAAAAGGTCTCGAAGCGTCATCTTTCATGTGACAGGAGTGTGTGTTTGCGTTCTGAATGCGTGACAGGACACACACACACACTCCTCTTCTCGTTGACTGCTCTTTCTCTCTGCTTCTGTTTCTCTCATTATGATTAATGTTGAGACGCCTCTGGACTCTTGATTTCTGACCTTTGGCTTCTGTTGGGAATCAAACATGTCCAGTTTTGACCTTTGCTGATCCCGCTCTCGCCTGCTCTCCGTCTGCACTTGTTAATAAAGCTCCTGTGAAGTGCTTTGAAATGTGCATTATATTTATTGGATGTTTGACGTAATCTCAAATGAAACATGAAGAGAGGGCGGGGCGTAGAGTAGCTCCTAGCTCCAATAGTGTGTTGTTGTTTTCTCACAGCTCTGTCAGTGAGAGTGGTTGAGCTCAAGAGCATCAAATGGAAAGCCAATGAGAAGAAGGGGGCGGGGCATGTCAGACACTAGAGAGCTTTTGATTAGTCAGAAGATTTGATGAGAAACTGAAGTATGAGATGACAAAAACAATCTCTGATCCATTTAAAGAGGCAAACTGAAAGATTTAGATGTTTATATCAGGTTTACCTCTTCTACTTGAAAATCTTGTCCCTGTTTTGGAGGCACTAGATTATAGATATGCCTAAAGAGCTCCTATTATGCAGTAAATGACTTTTATAAGGGGTTTAGTGAAGTTTCCCAAACTAATTCCAAGAGGAGAACGTGTTATGATTGACCGCAGCTGGTCCCTATCAATAATCATCAGCAAGCCAGTCGGATTATTCCAAATCTAAAGTAAAAACCCAGCCTAACTTTTCTCTCTATCTTCACTTGGGAAGAACCCCCATCCACCCTTCTCCCTCCTCCTCATTTCTAGGATACATGTCTCTAGGAGACATGGCGGCTGAGTGGCAAGCACTGCTGCCTCACAGCAAGAAGGTCGCTGGTTCAAGTCCTAGCTGGGCCAGTCGGCATTTCTGTATGGAGTTTGTATGTTCTCCCAGAGTTTACATGGGTTTCTCCCAGGTACTCAGGTTTCCTCCCACAGTATAAAGACATGATACACAATTAAATTAAACAATAGTAAGAGTCACACAAACATTAACACTGAGCTTCTCTAAGTGAGTATGCGCCGGTGTGGTTGGCAGCCTTTTCCTACAGAGCTGTCTTCATTAATCAAGGAAGAGGTCTAAATGAATCCGGGGAGCTCTCGAGAACTACCTGATCTCATTTCCCTTTAAATCAGGGGTCACCAAACTTGTTCCTGGAGGGCCGGTGTCCTGCAGATTTCAGCTATAACCCTAATCAAACACACCTGAACAAGCTAATCAAGGTGTTACTTGGTATACTTGAAACAAGCAGGCAGGTGTGTTGAGGCAAGTTGGAGCTAAAACCTGCAGGGACAGAGGATTGGTGACCCCTGCTTTAAATGCTCATTGACCAGATGGGAGTGTTGGGCTCATTTATGTCCTTTCTCTCACGGGACAGCATGCCAAACCTGCTAATAATGTCAAGCATTATCTAATAATAATAATAATAATCCTCACATTTATATAGCGCTTTTCTGGGCACTCAAAGCACTTTACACATAGGGGGGAATCTCCTCAAACAGCAGCAGTGTGCAGCATCCACCTGGATGAGGCGACGGCAACCATTTCGCGCCACACCACACACCAACTGATTGGAGGAGAGGAGACAGAGTGATGAAGCCGATTATGATATGGGAATGTTAGGAGGCCATGATGGACAGAGACCAGTGGGAAGATTTGGACCGGATGCCGGGGTTAAACCCCTACTCTTTTTCAAAGGTCATCCTGGGATTTTTAATAGGACCTCGGTTTAATGTCTCATCCGAAAGACGGCACTCACTGAGCAGTATAGAGTCCCCGTCTCTATACTGGGGCATTAGGACTCGCACAAACCACAGGTTGGGCGCCCCCTGCTGCCCTCATTAACACTACTTCCGGCAGCAACCTACCTTTCCCTTGTGGTCTACCATCCAGGTACTGACCGGGCACAGCCCTGCTTAGCTTCAGTACCAGACCAAGTGAGAGTTGCAGAGAGCTAGCTGCCGGCAGGCGGATCTAAGTGTGAACTCTTGAAACACAGTTGTGTGTCAGCATTGTGTGAATACAGTCAGCTTCTAATGGCAAAAACCAATCTCATCATCATCGTCATTATTTTATCTGGGGTCGGATTGTGGGGGCAGCAGTGTTAGGAGAGAACTCCAGACTTCCCTCTCCCCAGACACTTCCTCCAGCTCCTCCGAGGCGTTCCCAGACCAGCCGAAAGACATAGTCCCTCCAGCGTGTCCTGGGTCTTCCCCGAGGCCTCCTCCTGGTGGGACATGCCTAGGAAACAGATGCCCGAGCCACCACAGCTGACTTCTCTAGATGTGGAGGAGCAGCGGCTCTACTCTGAGCTCCTCCCGGGTGTCAGAGCTCCTCACCCTATCCATGGGGGTGCATCCTGCCACCCTACGAAGGAAACTTAACTTGTATCCGAGATCTTGTCCTTTCAGTCATGACCCAAAGCTCATGAGCATAGGTGAGAGTAGGAACGTAGACTGACTAGTAAATCGAGAGCTTTGCCTTTCGGCTCAGCTCCTTCTGCACCACAACAGACCGATACACTGACCGCATTACTGCTGCCACTGCACCAATCCACCTGTCAATCTCACGCTCCATCCTTCCCTCACTCGTGAACAAAACCAAAAAGATACTTGGCCACCTGGGGTAAGGACTTTCCTCCAACCTGGAGATGGCAAACCACCTTTTTCCCGTGGAGCACCATGGCCTCGGATTTGGAGGTGCTGATTCACATCCCAGCCACGTAACACTCGGCAGCAAACCTCCCCAGTGCATTCTGAAGGTCCATGTTTGATGAAGCCAATAGAACAACATCGTCTGCGAATAACAGAGATGAAATCCTGTGGTCCCCGAACCGGACCCTCTCCAGCCCTAGGCTTCACTTTGAAATTCTGTCCATTAAAATGGTGAACAGAATTGGTGACAAAGGGCAGCCCTGCCGGAGTCCAACATGCACTGGAAACAAGTCTGACTTATTGCCGGCAATGCGAACCAAAATCTTACTCTGTTCATACAAGGACAAGACGACCCTTAACAGAGCGCCTCTGACCCCATACGCCCACAGCACCCTCCACAGAATGCCATGAGGGACACTGTTGAATGCCTTCTCCAAGTCCACAAAACACGTGGACTGCTTGGGCATACTCCCATCAACCCTTGAGCACCCTGGTGAGAGTATGGAGCTGGTCCAGTGTGCCACAGCCTGCACAAAAACCGCATTGTTCCTCCTGGATCCTAGGTTTCACCATCGGCCAGATCCTCCTCTCCAGTACCCTGGCATAGACTTCCCCCTATAGTTGAAGTACACCCTCCAGTCCCCTTTCTTAAAAATGGGAACCACCACCCCAGATGCCCAGTCCAGAGGTACTGTCCCTGATCTCCATTCAACATTGTAGAGACGTGTCAGCCAAGACCCACAACATCCAGAGACCTAAGATACACAGAGTGAATCTAATCCACCCCTGCTGCTTTGCCACCAATTTATTATATTTGTTATAATCACACTTGGGTCAGTTGGAGTTTGCATGTTCTCCCCGTGTTGGCATGGGTTTCCACTGGCTGCTCCGGTTTTCCCCACAGTCACTTGCACTATAGGGGAATTGATCAACTAAATTGGCCCTAGTGTATGAGTGTGTGTGTGTGTGTGTGTGTGTGTGTGTGTGTGTGTGTGTGTGTGTGTGTGTGGGTGTTTCACAGTACTGGGTTGCAGCTGGAAGGGCATCCGCTGTGTAAAACATATGCTGGAATAGTTGGTGGTTCATTCCACTGTGGCGACCACTGATAAAGAAAGGAACTAAGCCAAAGAAAAATGATTGAATACATGAATAATCACTTAAAAAAGGGGAGGAGCTACTATCTGCCCTCCCTCTCTTCGTGTTTGAGATCAACATCAAACACTAAATGCGCATTTTTAAGCACCTCACGAGACCTTTGATATATTAAATAGTGGTTGGAGGTGATCAAGATGCTCCAAACAAGAACAAAACATTCATCTGCTGAGATATAAATTATTCCTCCAAAAGCAGACAAGAGTGAACATGGTGTTTTCCACACGAGCCGCAGGCTGATCAAAACACACACACACACACACACACACTTAGTCAGACATAGTCAGCTCATTGTCCTTTGTCTTATTTGAAACTTTTTTTTATTCTTCTTTGCAAAATATTGTTTTAAAAGGACATACTCTGCAAGTCTAGTATATGAATTGCATATATGTATGTGTGTGTGTGTGTGTTTTATTTCTAATTATTATTTATCTATATATAAAACCCACATTTGATCTAGAAAAAAATATTATGATGGGACAAAAATATAATTATTTTATCAAGTCTTGAAAGCTAAATATACTGTAGCAAATAACCATCCAGGCACTGGAACAGCATAGTATAGTGTGTAACTTTAAATAAATAGAATATACAATTACCGGCCACTTTATTAGGTACACCTGTCCAACTGCTCATTAACGCAGATTTCTAATCAGCCAATCACAAGGCAGCAGCTCACTGCATTTCGGCATGTAGACATGGTCAAGACGATCTGCTGCAGGTCAAAGCGAGCATCAGAATGTAGAAGAAAGGGGATTTAAGAGACTTTGAGCGTGGCAGGGTTGTTGCTGCCAGACGGGCTGCTCTGCGCTCTGAGTATTTCAGAAACTGCTGATCTACTGGGATTTTCAAGCTCAACCATCTCTAGGCTTTACAGAGAATGCTCCGACAAAGAGGAAATATCCAGTGAGCGGCAGTTCTGTGTGTGCAAATGCTATGTTGATGAGGCCAGAGGAGAATGGCCAGACTGGTTCTAGCTGATAGAAAGGCAACAGTAACTCAAATAAGCACTCGCTACAACCGAGCTCTGCAGAAGAGCATCTCTGAACACACAACACGTCCAACCTTGAGGCGGATGGGCTACAGCAGCAGAAGAGCACACCGGGTGCCGCTCCTGTCAGCTAAGAACAGGAAACTGAGGCTACAATTCACACAGACTCACCAAAACTGGACAATAGAAGATTGGAGAAACGTTGCTGCTCTGATGAGTCTCCATTTCTGCTGACACATTCAGATGCTCGGCTCAGACAACATGAAAGCATGGATCATCCTGCCTTGTATCAGCGGTTCAGGCTGGTGGTGGTGGTGTAATGGTGTGGGGGAGATTTTCTTTGAGTCCATTAGTACCAATTGAGCATCAACGCCACAGCCTACCTGAGTATTGCTGCTGACCATGTCCATCCCTTTATGAGCACAGTGTCTCCATCTTCTGATGGCTACTTCCAGCAGGATAACGCAGCATGTCATAAAGCTCAATCATCTCAGACTGGTTTCTTGAACATGACGATGAGTTCACTGTACTCAAATGGCCTCCACAGTCACCAGAGCTCAATCCAATAGAGCAGCTTTGGGATGTGGTGGAACGGGAAATTGGCATCATGGATGTGCAGCCGACAAATCTGCAGCAACTGTGTGATGCTATCATGACAATATGGAGCAAAATCTCTGAGGAATATTTCCAGCAGCTTGTTAAATCTAAACCAGGAAGTATTAAGGCAGTTCTGGAGGCAAAAGTGGTCCAACCCGGTACAGGTAAGGTGTACCTAATAAAGTGGCCGATGAGTGTATATTACATATATTCTTATATTCAAATATATTCTTGTAAATTATATTCTTTTATATAATAATTATACAAAACAACTCTTGATTACAGGATCTAAATAAAATGCTGTTTATATCCATGGATGAAATAACCTCCTGTGCACTATTTATACCAAATAAATAATAATAATAATAATAATAATGTGTGTGTGTGTGTGTGTGTGTGTGTGTGTGTGTGTGTGTGTGTGTGTGTGTGTGTGTGTGTGTGTGTGTTTGTGATGTGTGTGTCAGAGGTGTTTGCTAGCATCTCCTGATCTGGGAACAGCAGGAGTGACGGCTCCGTCTGCGCTGTCAGTCTGCAGCTGATCACAGAGCAGTGCTGGGTTGTTTACCTTCAGCTGCTGGGTCGGGCTGAGTTTGTTCCATGGCTCTGGGTTATTCCTCCTGTCCCAGCTGACAGAATGAGGGTAAGGCCAGAGAAACACAAACACACACACACACACATTATTATTATTATTATTATTATTTATTTGGTATAAATAGTGCACAGGAGGTTATTTCATCCATGGATATAAACAGCATTTTATTTAGATCCTGTAATCAAGAGTTGTTTTGTATAATTATTATATAAAAGAATATAATTTACAAGAATATATTTGAATATAAGAATATATGTAATATACACTCATCGGCCACTTTATTAGGTACACCTTACCTGTACCGGGTTGGACCACTTTTGCCTCCAGAACTGCCTTAATACTTCCTGGTTTAGATTTAACAAGCTGCTGGAAATATTCCTCAGAGATTTTGCTCCATATTGTCATGATAGCATCACACAGTTGCTGCAGATTTGTCGGCTGCACATCCATGATGCCAATCTCCCGTTCCACCACATCCCAAAGCTGCTCTATTGGATTGAGCTCTGGTGACTGTGGAGGCCATTTGAGTACAGTGAACTCATCGTCATGTTCAAGAAACCAGTCTGAGATGATTGAGCTTTATGACATGCTGCGTTATCCTGCTGGAAGTAGCCATCAGAAGATGGAGACACTGTGCTCATAAAGGGATGGACATGGTCAGCAGCAATACTCAGGTAGGCTGTG